AGTGCTATCGTCTGTCTTTGTTTTTGGAAGCGTTTAACTAATATACGAACATATATAATATAATTTGATTTGTGTTGTTGAGTTGTATTATATGTTAATTTAATTTGTGTGGCGCGTGATGCGCGGTCGTCTGCACCAACCCGACATACTGGCGAGTTTGCGGCTGTGCGCCCCTGACGGGTGCGTGGGTGCGCGCCGCCAGCCCCCTCCGCTGAGCGTTCCCGTAACGCGAACAATTTACTTCGATATGCTCCTATATCACGCGCCATAAGGCTTATTAATATTAATTCAATACAAGTAGATATCTACAACTGTAGCCTGCCGAACTTCAAAGAAGTCGCACAGAGATGTATTACAGCAAATGATTTTTATATATAAATAACTGTTACTTACTGTTTTTACTTACAGTATCGTTTTGGGATAAATCCTGTAAAGACACTGTAATTGTTTTTAATAAATAAATAAATAAATATGCCATCCTCACCAATACATTTACAGTTTTCACAAATGTCGATGTTATAAAACGTGCAGTGATTTGATTGGTGGATCGCAAAAGAAAACAGAAACTGTTAAAACTTTAAATCGTAGGAGAGCTATCATATGACACGTGTGGGAGTGATACCACAGTCTAATAGAAAACCAATGTGCTTTTCTCCAAGTGTTTACTTGCCACCAAGTGACCTATGTCCTCGTTTACCCCTGTACTACAAAAAAACATGTTCGCATCGTGGTTCAGCACAGAGTGTTATTTATGTTCCTCGTGAAAGAAACTGAACTCCAACCTCATGTGGTGGGGAACTCGACGCGAAGGCTTCGGTCCAATTCATCGCGGAGACATTCTATCCAGATGACCTGGAAGAAACGGATAATGCCCACCATCGCCGAACCAGGAAAAGAGCTGAAGAGGTGAATTGTGCTGAACAAAACAACACCTGGGATCCAGAATTCTCACTCTGGGAACTGAAAACTTCAGCAAATTCCTTCAATTCGAAAAAGGCTCCTGGGGAGGATGGCTTCACCGCAGACATCTGTCAACACGCCATAAACGAGGACCCAGAGACCTTTCTGCAACTCCTCAATAAGTGCCTGGCCCTACATCACTTCCCAAATATCTGGAAGGAAGCAACCGTAGTGGTACTCAGAAATCCTGGGAAGGAGAGCTACACAACCCCAAAGTCTCTAAGACCCATAGGTTTATTACCTATATTGGGTAAAACCTTGGAAAAAATGCTGGTTTGCCGACTTAAACATCATTTACTACCCGGGATGAGTGCTCGCCAGTACGGTTTCATGCCCCAAAAGAGCACCGAGCTCCCTCTATGACCTATTGCAGCACATCCGCACAAAATTAAAAGACAAACAAATCATTACCGTTATATCCTTGGACATAGAGGGAGCCTTCGACAGTGCATGGTGGCCAGCTATTCGAGTACGTCTGGCAGAGGAGAGATGCCCCGAGAACCTCCGACTCATGGTTGACAGTTACCTAACAGAAAGAGCTATAAAGGTTAAATACGCTAGGGAGGATTACAAAAAAAGCCACCAGCAAAGGTTGTGTACAGGGATCCATAGGTGGTCCAATATCATGGAATCTCCTTTTGGACCCACTTCTTAAAAGCCTGGAGGCCAGAGGAGACTACTGTCAAGCCTTTGCAGACGACATCATCTTATTTTCCACGGGGAAACTGCAGAGGCTATTCAAAGACGCGCCAATGCTGCCCTTGAACATGTTAACGAGTGGGGAGTCGCAAACAAATTGATCTTTGCACCACATAAGACGATGGCTATGACCATAACGAACAAACTGAAATACGACACCCACGACTGAGCGTGGGAGGGGTCAGTATTGGAGCGACAAAAGAAATAAAAATACTGGGAGTTACCACACCAGTTTGACACCAGGCTTTAATTTTCAACAGCCGCAAACAAATTAGAAGTGAGGAAGCAACTGGATGTAGTCCAACTAGGGATAGCTCAAAAATTATACAAAGCCTACCGCACAGTCCCCCTTAACTCAGCACTAATACTGGCGGGGATCCTCCCCCTTGACCTCCGAATTCGCGAGGTCGCCCTCCTATACAAGGGCAAGGGGGGTATCACCTGGGGAGCGCCAGAGGATCGGGAAGTGGAGCGTATGGCTCGTGCTGTAGACGCTCCGCACCCGGCAGAACATATATACCCCGACTCAAAGCTAATTGTGGACAGAGAACAATGCCTGCGTAGTGATACTGGCGACACAAAAATTTTCACAGACGGAAGCAAAATTGCAGGAAAGGTCGGAGCCGCTCTCACATTGTGGAAAAATGGAATAGAGATCGGAACCGTAAAGCTTGCTCTATCAAGCTACTGCACCGTGTACCAGGCCGAGCTTCTGGAGTTGTGTAGGGCGACGCGGGAAATAACAGTGCGCGATGGTACTGCGTTTGGGATATATAGCGACTCCATGGCCGCCATACAAACTGTACAAAACCCTTGTTCCCTTTACCTGCTAGCAGTAACTACCAGGGAGAATTTAAGAACAGCGTCTCGCCAGAACAAAGCTGTGACTTTGTTCTGGATAAAAGCACACGCGGGGTTAGAAGGAAACGAGAGAGCCGACGAACTGGCTAAGGCAGCGGCGCAGGGTTCCATACGCAGACCAGACTATGATCTGTGCCCGGTCTCATTCGTCAAGGGATGCATTCGGAATGCGACCCTTGACGAGTGGGATGAGAGGTATAAAAAAGGGACAACTAAGTCTGTTACAAAAATGTTCCTGCCTGACGTGAGAACGGCATATGCAGTGGTAAGGAAGTTCGAAGCTACTGGTATCAGAACACAAATCATGACGGGGCACGGCGGCTTCTCCGAGTATCTGAGCGGTTTCGGATGCAAGGAGAGCTCGGCGTGCGTCTGCGATCCTGAAATTAGTGAAACGGTGCATCACATTCTCTTTGAGTGCCCAGTACACTCGAGAGAGCGTTATGAGATCGAGCACCAGATAGGTAACAAAATGATCGCTACTAACATAGCGACCATAATGCTAGGCACAGAAAGAGACAGGTTGTTGAATTACTGTGTTAAAAAAGCCAAAAAAGTTGTAAAAAGGAATAAAACAAAGTCAAAGTAAATATGCTGTCATAATATAATAGATAATATTACTGTACAGCATAAAAGCATAGAAAAATAAGATGTATAATTATATAGATATTGTATAAGCAGTGATTCTAAGGCAAACTGTATCATAGTAATAAGTAAAAATGTAAAATAGAAAATAAGATGTAAAAAACAAAAATTTATAGAATAAGGCCTATATAAGCACACTAAATATAAGTAAATAGAAAATTTGATAAACAATCTATAAGACAAATTGTATTAGAAAATTAAGTGAAAATGTAACCTAAAATTAAAATGTAAAAAATTGAGATAAAATAAGCCCAACAAAGCATAACATGTAAGTTGTATTTCAAATAAAAATAGTGTGTAAAGTCACTGAACTACACCTGCATAGAAATAAGAAAAAAATAGAGAATAAAATAGAGTAGCTTGATGGGAGTCCCATCCATAAAAAGTAATGATATGCATGAATGAAAGTTGGTATGAAGCATGAAAGTGCGAGAAGAATAACCGGTATGAGAAGAACTGGTATGGAAGTGAAACCATAATGTAAAAACAGATTCCAATTCTGTTGTAGGAACCAGGAAAAAAAACCTCATGTGGTGTTGGACAGAGTGTCTTTCGTTGGTTGAACGTGACCTGCCAGTTGGTGATATAGGGCAGTTCTGGTATGACTTTTTTAAATTTTTAATCTTCTTTCACTCTAGTCATAGATCAGCACACAATAGCAACAATGTGTTTTGTCAAATATTTATCAAAATGAAGTCAATCCATTATATGCTTGTTTCGATATACAACCACCCGATACCAACCTTATAAGAAGAAAGGTAACACGTTTAGACGACCGAATGGCGTAGTGGTTTGTGTAACGGACTGCTATTCCAAAGGTCGCGGGTTCGATTCCCGCTCAAGTCAAGCATTTGTGTGCATGAACATTTAATGTTTGATTTGGTCTGGGTGTTTCTATGTATAATATGTATGTATTTACAAAAAAAAAAGTATATATGTATTTATATCAGTTGTCTAGTATCCATAGTACAAGCTCTGCTTAGTTTGGGACTAGATGGCGTTGTGTGTATGTGGTAGAATATTATAAAAAATATTATTACGTTTATGACTCCTGAGTTGCAGACTTTCAAGGGCAGCGATGGTCACTTTCCATCAGGTAACCCGTCTGCTCGTCTGCCCACTCTAATATAAAAAAAAAGGGCAACCCAACTCACGGCACTCTTTTTTAATTACAACTGCATATATTCGCATCATTAATGACATTGTCATTAACGTAATGATTTCAGGCTGTTTACAGCAAAAGATTAGCAATGGGTTTTATTATTGATGGTTCTATTCCCAGAATAAATATATTCATTATCAATGAAATCATAAATTTACATATTTGTGAAGGATTAACGTTTTGGGGAACGAATCACTCACGAAAGCTTTATTTCAATATAAGGATTATCGATAATTACATTGGCATTAGACTGTTTAAATGTTCAGTTAGGAAAATTTTATTATTGAGTCGAGATTTGAAGTAATTCTATTGTGGGTATTGGCGATTCATTTTTGTCAAAAAATTAAGTATTAAAGAAATTTCAGCAAAACACCTGTTGAGATATTTTTTGTTCTGAGATCTGTATAGCACATTAACCCTATTTCGGAATAATAAATTTAATTGAATTTACTAGGTAAAGTGTAGTGGGAATGATATGTCGGTAGGTGGTAAATAAATAACAACGTGTGCTTCACTCAATCACTGGTTTATTACTCACTCATTTGACAAGCCGTCGTACATAAGCGTCTGGGTAGCTTACTATGTACATGTTATAACCATACATAACATTCCTCTTCCTCTAGTTTGGGAACCTGGTGACAGTGCAAACGCATTGTTAACATATTACATTTTACTACCATATATATATAACTATTCTAAACCTTATAATTAATATTTTTATTTCTAGGCCTGAGGTTGTATGGTTCCAGGCATGTTGATGACTTGGTTCTGGGTGTTCAATATTTTGTTCGGGTCTAAGGACATTAGGAGACACCACTTCACATGGCCGGTCAACAACATTTTCCTCCGCCATCAACTCCTCACAACCCACTTCTGAAGCCTCTTGCCACGCGTCACTTCCTTTTTCAACTATTTCAATTTGATTCTCCAGATCACTAAAGGTCGGCACAAAATCATTTACATTTGGTGAATGTAAATTTTCTGGCTGAGAAATAGGGTCGAGAGGGTTTTCAATCTCATTTCCTTTTGGTGGCCAAATATTGTTATGTGAAAAGTCATTATCATGAGAAATTTCTGTTTGATCTAAGGTATAATTATCTGTGTATCGTAACAATTGATCGATATGCCTTTTACAAATAACATTTTGAGCTATTAAATGTACCTGATACAACCAGCATCCTAAATTCTTTACAATTATACCCTTACACCACTATGGTTTTCTATTTTCAAAACGTTTTACCCAAACTCGAGCCACTTACTATATGCGTCGATTACCACTAAGTATGACCTTTGCCCTACACTGTAATGCGCTACATACATCGCAACTACCTATTAACTGTTCGATATCCTTATCAATGCCCGGCCACCACATCAGAGACCGCGCTGCGCTCTTTGTTTTGACAATACTTTGATGTGACTTATATAATTCGAGCAATAAAGTACGTCTATACCTTAAAGGAATGATTACGCGATGACCTCTCATGAGACAGCCGCTTTCGACGTCTAGATCATTTATCAAGCAAACATTTATCAAGCAAACATTTATCAAGCATTATTATTACAAGTAAATCACTAAATACACATTCAAAATGGGAGTACCGAAGTTCTTCAGGTATACCAGCGAAAGGTACCCCTGCCTCAATGAGTTGGTGAAGCAGTAATAAATACCTGGTTATTTTCATTGTTTTGCATTTTTGTATATTCTTTACCAATGTCTTATCTTCATTTTAAAATGTGTTTACATTTTTTATTAATTTCTTCTTAACTTAATTACAAATACACTGATAAAATAATAAAACATTGGTACATTTTACTTTACGTGGCCAACCATAATTAACATATTTTATCACTACAGATAACGTTTCGTCGCTAGCGGTCGCCGCGCAGATATTTTATATGTGATAGGTAAACTTTGTGGTTGCAAACTATTTACATTATGTACATGGCATTACTCAATTACTTCATAGGCATGGTTGTGATTATTTTTAAGAGGGCGGGTCAATAAGTCCGTGACTTTTTGAATTTCTGACCTCTTCGTCTTGGAAGCTAGGAAGAGGAGGTTGATCGTCAACAGCTGAACGTCTCGGTCGCGCGTATTGCAACTAGATTGAGTATGTTACATATATAGAACGTTGAGGACCGCTAGGTGAGTCTTTATTGGTTATTATGTTTTAGGATTAATATATTTAAAGCATTTGGTATTGGTTAAGGTACCTTTGAATGTGATAGAATGATTAATGGACTCTTCAGTGTGGTGAATCGATTTATAACTGTTGTGAGGCCACCCTAGGTCATTGCTATACGGTTATTCTTCGGTGACCCGTTATTGTGGAGTATTTATGATGTGGTTAATGCATGCCGTGTGCTTGCGTGAAGGGCGTTTTAATGGGCGGATCCTGTGGTCGGCTTGCGTGATGCTGTTGATGAATTGGTGGAGATCGAGCGGTCCGAGTCCGCCGTCGGCGCACGCGTTGTGTCCGGTAGCATAGGGGCTAATGCAACACCAGACGAGCAATATTCACGTGTTTGACCTTGCGGCCTTGACCATTCAGTTGTAGAAGTTGATTGACTCACTCTAAGCTTAAGCGCACATTGAATGGAATTCTGATAAGCAATCACAACCAATACCAATGTATTTATTTATTTCATTTAGACTTTGGTTCCCTCTTATCGCGGTCTTTTATTGTTTATTCTCCCCATAGGGATGGGAGCTGGCTACGTGTTTTAGCGAAAAAACTGCTTTACTCAGGCTAGGGTTATTTGAGATACCATCACACCTATTAGGCTGTGGTATCACTCCCACACGTGTCATAGGATAGCTCTCCTACGATTTAAAGTTTTAACAGTTTCTGTTTTCTCTTGCGATCCACCAATCAAATCACTGCACCGTTTTATAACATCGACATTTGTGAAAACTGTAAATGTATTGGTGAGGATGGCATATTAAATAAACATATAATACAAATCCATAACACAAATGAAATTATATGTGTTCGTATATTAGTTAAACGCTTCCAAAAACAATGACAGACGTTAGCATTATTGATACATTTGAAGAGAAGTCAGAAAAACGACTACCATAAGAAAAGGACAGAATGTTGGTACTAACTAAATGAACCATTCTTGAACTGAAATAAACTGAACCAATCACCCATTCTTCTTTGGTAATAAATGAAATTGTTTTGATGAATTCAGAAATTAAAATCATTCAATGGAGGAATTCGCTCACTTGAGTGAATATTTTATTTACTGCATATGTCTGATGTTGACTCCTACTGCTCCGCCAACGACTCTATTAATTCATCAGAAAATGAGAGTTTTACTTGGGTAACTGACACCCCTGGTGATATAGTACGTAGCACTTTTATTCGAAAATGTCATCGAATGTTTAATTTTTGTCACATAAATGCTCAAAGCATACCCAGTCACTATAGTGACCTACGGGGAACTTTTAACGGCTCAAACGTGGACGCTATCCTGATTGACGAGACTTGGCTCAAACCCCAACTACTTTCAACCTTTTATCCTCTCCCAGGATTCGTTCTTATCAGGAACGACTAGGCAAACAAAAGGGGCCGTGGTGTCGCAATATACCTACGTTCCGATTTTTCTTACAATATTCTCTCTTAAACTGGACTAGATTTAGTCGGCCCCTATCTGAAATCTCCGCTAAGGAAGTTTCAATTTCAGACACAAGTTTGTTTCGACTCTCGATGACGTTTTCCCGAGAATTGTTGGGACGGCCGGTATAAAGGGCATCTCCTGTGCTATCATCTGCATAGCAATGGATGCCATTAGTTTGCAACATGTCACACAGCCTTGTGGGACACCAGCATTTAGGAATTTCAGCAGGATCTGTCGAAACAGGGCTTGGATCTGCCACCGATGGGAATTAATGTAGAAGGAACAAATAGTTCCATGCCCTAAAGTACTACATCAGTGACAGAATCGGAAACGACGGTGGGATCATCCCGCAAGAAACAGATCTGCCTCCATGGGTAGGACGCAAAGAAGGGACGCATCCCATCCCAGTCCGCTGACCTATAGCGCCACACACGGCGGCAGCCTGCAACTCGCGGCCGCGGCGAGCACGTGAGTGGCACAGTACTGCGGATTAGACAATGATCCGAGGAGCCAAGTGGGGCTTCGACGGCGATTTTGTAACCGTCCGTATCGGAGGTCAGCAGAAGGTCCAACAGTGAAGGCTCATGACTTTCCACATCCGGAACTCGCGTGGGCATTTATACCAGTTGTGACAAGCCATAGGTCAGGGCGAAATCGTGAACAGATCTCCTCGCGTGATCGATCTTGCGTGAGCCAAGCCTCCGATCCAATCACGATCTCCGCGGATGGGATCTGCTGCAGCGGAATCTGTAGCCATTTGGACGTGGTCCATCAGTCGGTCAGTTTCGGTGTCACCGCTATGGGGCCTGTAGAGGCATGCGTAGACGCGGGGATGGTCGTCGCTGTCTACACGGAGCCACAAGATTTAAAGGTCCCGTCCTTCAAGATTGCTGAGGCGGCGCGAACTGATACCACCACACTCCGGCCCTAGCAACAAAGAAGTGTTCCAGAAGATAGCCAGGGTAGGAGAGGTAGGATGTGTCCGATGGAGATGATATCTGCGTCTCGGTTAGAAAGAGCAAGGCCGGCTTCACTGTCTCGAGGTAGTGGTGGACAGTGTTGAGGTTGCACTGAAGGCCCCTTATGTAGCAGAAATTCAAGTCAAGCGTGGCGACGGGTGGTCTAATGTGCCTGCTCCCGCCGCGGGCAGATATCCCGTCGAGCGCTGTTGCGTTCCCCCCCCCCCCCCAGAATACGCGGGGCAGCCCAGACATCCACGTTCAGACGTATGGTGGACGCCCAGAGGGGGTTTTTCCAACGCTAAAGCAGCTGGTACCCCCCTGGGGTAGATTATCTTTTAACGGCGCTATCATGAGGGGGGATTTAGGGGGGTTGGGCTCCAGAAACCTCACTCACTCGGTGCAATGCAACAGAGAAATTGCTTTACAACCGGTTTTCTGTGAGGCCGTGGTATCGCATCGGTCGAGTCGGCCCCTTTTTTGCCGAAGCATGGCTCTCCCACGTAAAAAAGTCTTTCGTTGGTTGTAAGCGACCTGCCAGTTGGTGATATAGGGCAGTTCTGGTATGACTTTTTTTTTATTCTACCATTCCATATCGAAGTGGTGTATTTTCAAACAACACTAACATTAAAATTAGTTCAACAATCATGTCCTGTTAGGGCTACTAACACGCACCACCAACTCTAAAGATATTTTATCCTCTGATTACTTTCGGGTGATTCTTTATTGATCTGATCGTCTTCTTAATCAATAATGGTACGATCCTCATACCTGTTCTTATTACGCGCTGAAGAGAAAGATGTATTTAAAAAAACTACAAATCTTCTTAAATCTTTATATGACAATTTCATCCAAGTTCACAAAAAGTTAGGTTCTGTAAAAAGGAATATAGCTAATGAACAAAAATTGAGATTTTATGGAGACACTGAATTGTTTGTACTTCCTAAATATCTAAATATTATAGGTAACAATAATTATACCCTTAGAGTATGAAGAATACACCATAAATTAAAATACAAACTGCAGTAATACAATAGTGTAAGAAATTAACAAAGAGATAAACGCTACAACAAACTTAACCCCCATGGGAAACTTGGGCCATAAGAAGCATTGCGATGTTTCAATGTAATCTAAAGCATCGTACACAACCACACGAAGAGTTTTATCTGGAACAATATTAACGAAATTAATAATTACTGGTGTTCGCTCTAGTGTCAAAATTCGAAAATTTACTATTGAAAATTAACAAAAAAGTTTGTAATGTTTAGTTAAATTTAGGTTGATATTATTTTAAGACTTAACTTAAACGCAAAGAAATAAAGTTATTTGAAATTGGTAGGAGTTTAAAGAAAAGCATTAAACTTCCCTCTAAATTTCTAGGTACAATGGACACGCAGAAATACCTCCGTCCTCCATAAGCGCAGGCCTGGGGGTGACAGGTGAGGCCATCTGTCACCCTAGCAGAAGCAGGCCGGGGTGGCGGCGAGCGCGTTGCGAAGCGCGCTCGCTTCCAGGGAGCACAGGGAACATGGGGTTCCCACACGGGGCGGGGGTCGTCTACTCGTCTGTAGATGACCCGAGGTATGTCGGGGCACCAGGGCCTTCCTTTCTAGGGTATACCTGGTTCCCCGGCTATTAGTACCCGGCGAAGGCGTGCGGTTTTAGTCGGTTCGAGTCCGACATGCCACCGACAGGTGGTATCCGAGGGGATTTCCGCACGGAAAAAAAAAAAAAAAAAAAAAAAAAAAAAAAAAAAAAAAAGGTACAATGGACAAAATAAAGACCCAAATAGTTACCAATTTTCTATAAAATAAGTTTATTCGGATTAACGCAATTAAAATATACTTGATTTATTTGATGTGGTAAAATTGAAATGAGGCTAGATATGATATACGAGTATGTTCAGAGAAATCAGGGAGACCTTAAAGCATCAAAGAGCAAGCAGGAAATGAAGAGGATGAGAGTTTGCAATTCTGGAATGATGATAGCTGAAGACAAGCAAACGACTTAAACGACCAGCCATCATGCCGAGATCAAATGACGAGAATATGCTTCGTTTATCTTAATTAGTTGATCTACCTATGATTTATTGATTTTTTTTAAATTAAAACTTAATACAATATATGCTTTTTCATTTCCTAGTTGTTACCATACGGTATTTACCTGTATAAGTTATTAGCTCATCAACCAAAATAGACTTGATTTCATCCAAATCATTAAAAGTCAATTCCATCAACAGTAGTGGCATGCACATGGTAAACACATATATAATACCTTCCACAATCCATAATATAAAGTCTCTATTCTGAAAACAAGTATATGATACCGTAAATATATTATAATATAGGTTTTATTGAGGACACCTTTTTATGACTTACCAAATCCTTGGAGTTTAAAAGATTGTATAAAATAAAACATATCTTTAAAAAGTCCAAACAGAAGCCCAATGTAGTCTGAAAATATAACAAAATCATTAAAGAAACAACATTAAAGAAGCAAAACACTATACCGACGTACATTAAGTTACTACCATTCATTCTACCTTTTAGCTCAAATTTTGCATGTATCCGAAATTAAAATATCAGTTAATAAACCGAATTTAGGAAACCTAATCGACTACAATGAACTAAACTTTAAGCGTTTAATGATAATAATGTTATTTAAAAACGCGCAGCAGTAACAACAAAACGTGTGTATGATTAAATTTTTTACTAGCTTTTAACTGAATTTTACTTTAAGTATAAGAAAAAAGTGTGTCAGCTCTGACGTACGACTGCAGTTTACTCCTTAATAACGATTCGGCTGCACACAAGTATACAAGTTATACACACACACACATTAATAAAATAGGTTGCGCACAAAAAACATAACCAGGTCATTCGATCATTAAATTTTATTCTTGCGTTGCCGCCCTTGATTGTACTCTTCCGAGTTAGGAAATGGGAGGGGATAGTTGGATGTGCGGTAATGTCACTCATCCGGTTAAATAGAGATCCGACAAACAATCATGCTTAGCCGAGACTTAGACGAGGAGGGATGATAACCTTTACAAGGCTGTGTTTCTGCAGTTGATATATCTGTCGATATGAATGTAGAGGCAGAATGTTTACAAGATCATGCTCGTAGATGTAGTAGATGGAGCCACATTTGTGATACGATGATAGCTAGGCTGCAGCCCAGACCTACCAGGTGAAAGATAAAATGATATTTACCTTGATCCTGAGCATTTTCGTTGTAAAAGAAAAGTCATTGGTCAATTCAATATAACTGTTGACAAATTTTTTGATATGCACAATTTTTGCCTCCTCTGTAAGATGTTTATCAGTTTCTATAATGCTCATGTATTTCTTCATTAAGTAAACACATTTTCGGTATTCGTCTGCTATATATAGTAACGGTACGCGACCAATAAGACACGAAATGTACATGTACGACGTAACAAGTTTGCCTATAGTATCGAAGATGGGTTTTAAGACCAATGTAGACAAATTTAGTATTAATAAGAAAAGTAAAACAAAATGAACGGCGTAACTATTTTGATCATATTTGTTAATAAACTTTGTTACCCATTCTTCTTTGGTGATTAATGAAAATATTATATTTAAAGTGGACTCAAAAATTACAGAAATAGAATAGATGAATTCGCCATGTAGTGAGTTACTGTTTTTGTAGTAACATATAATCCAACATAAAAAAATGTGAAATACACAGTAACACCGAGCCAGCGTGCACATAACAGCAGAATTAGTGAATTTATAATAGTTGCCAAATAATAGCCTAATGAACATCATTGTTCGGAACAAAATGTTAGTTCTCTTTCTGGTAGTAGTTGCTATTAGATCCGATGAATTCATTATATTTGCCATAGTAGATTAGATACACCTTAACATTTCACAAATATCGACTAACTAACCGGAATACTTCGTCTCAATAAAACTGTATCTGAATAAATTAATCAAATAAAAAAGTCAATCATATATATACAATTGAAAAACATACATACATTAGTCATTTCATCAATAAATTAATGTGAACAAATAAATTTACTAGAGTGTTTTCTGTTATACTACTTGATGACCGAAATTCAACTCTTTTATTGAAGTGAAAACTTCTTTAGCGGCGTTGTACACTTTTTTTGTAATGGGTAAAAAATGTTAAACTAGCGTCAGGACACGTGACCTGATCGAAAATTCGTAAGACGGATGGAGAGTAGACAGTCGGCGCAGCGTAGGAGAGGAAGTATCCCCCTCTCTTTTTACGGCGTGGCGTAAAAGTACACATGCCTGCGCCTGCTGTTTCGTTTAGGCGGCGCAGGGCGCTTGCGCGAATGTTCGTTTTTCTGAGAGATAAACTTTTTAATGTAATATAAATTGTCATGTTTGTGTACGATAGCGCAATTAATATATATTGTTTTCTACCACATAAATGATAGTACTTTTATACTGATAATTAAAGCAATTCGTGCCAAATTATTCCCTAACCATTCCAAAATATCAAAAATGCACAACGTTAATATTCAAGTTTTCACTTCTGCCGACACTCCCGGAGTGCAACCCGTCGTTTTTTTTATCTGAAAGCGGAAATATTTAGAAGGATTGAAGCCAATGGATAAGCTTTCATACTAGACTAAGAAATGTGTGAATATGTTACACATAAAATATTTAATACTCTAATATTTGGTGTCATACTTATTGCTTCTCGAAAATCTCAAAATCTATGGAAAGCTACATTATCGGTGAGTAACATAGGCTACTTTCTACCGCGCTTACGCGGTACTGCGGGGAAAGCTAGTATTATTAAAATTGTATATATACTATTATATTCCTACATAGTTTACTAGAAATTGGTACTTGTTTAGTGAATCAGTGTATCTACTATGGTAGATATAATTAATTCACCTGATCTTATAGCTACTACTACCAGAACTAGAACAGAACATCACTATTTGGAACGGAGCGTGGGCTCTCTGCCCACGCTCCGTTCCAAATAGTGATGTTCATTAGGCTATTATTTGGCAACTATTACAAATTCTCCAATACTGCTGTAATGTGCATGGTGGCTCAGTGTTACTGTGTCGCTTCACTATTTTCCAGTTGTATTATCATTGTTTACAAACCATATTCACTGAAGTGAGCGAATTCCTCCATGAATGGTTTTATTTGAATGGTTGAATGGTTTTGGAAGCGTTTAACTAATATACGAAAACATAAAATTTGATTTGTGTTGTGGAGTTGTATTATATGTTAATTTAATATGCCATCCTCACCAATACATTTACAGTTTTCACAAATGTCGATGTTATAAAACGTGCAGTGATTTGATTGGTGGATCGCAAAAGAAAACAGAAACTGTTAAAACTTTATATCGTAGGAGAGCTATCCTATGACACGTGAGGGAGTGATACGAGTACCACAGCCTAATAGAAAACCAATGTGGTTTTCTCCAAGTGCTTACTTGCCACCAGGTGACCTATATCCTCGTTTGCCCCTGTACTACAAATAAAAAACATGTTCGCATCGAGTGTTATTAGTATTAGTGAGTCCTGAAGGTAATACTTGGTAAACCCTTTCGGTATCCGAATCATTTATTATATGCAGATAGCAAATTTCTATCCGTTAGAAAACTACTTGTGCTCCAAGCAACCCTTAAAAAACATACTCAAGTTCCCCCACCAGATTACACGAAGCGTACAAGAAGAGTTTTATGCAGTGTGGAAAACCACAAAATTGCATTCGCCGGTCGACAATTTTATGTCAATAGTACTTTTATTTACAAAAAAATATATAAAGCTATTCCTATCAGTGCCTTAACTCCTCGCGAAGGGAAAGATAAAACAATGGCATTTTTACAACCCCTAGACTATGGACAAACTGAAGGACTACTTCAACTCCAGCAGTAAGCATATGCCCACGCCTACCTACGCATGCTCGCATTCACTCACACGCCCCGCACGCACACACACACACCCTCATACGCACGCAGCCACACACAAATACACACACACACCCACGCATACATCGCATTATATTTCTAACCTCTAAGCCTACAATCTGTCTCTATAACAGCAGAACACTAACTCCCAAGTCACAGGAACACCTAGTTTGGGAGTTAGGGTTACTCTATTGGGGTGACCTTTAATTGTTAAGATGCTTGTACGTTTATGTGTATATATATATATATATATAACAAAACTGTTAAAGGCTATTTATAACAATAAAGATTAATATTATTATTATTTATGTTCCTCATGAAAGAAACTGAATTACAACCTCATGTAGTGTTGGACAGAGTGTCTTTCGTTGGTTGGACGTGACCTGCCAGTTGGTGATATGGGGCAGTTCTGATATGACTTTTTTAAATTTTTAATCTTCTTTGACTCTAGTCATAGATAAGCACATAATAGCAACAATGTGTTTTGTCAAATATTTAACAAAATTAAGTCAATCCATTATATGCCTGTGGCGATATACAACCACCCGAAACCAACCTTATAAGAAGAAAGGTAACACGTTTATGACTCCTGAGTTGCAGACGTTCATGGGCGGCGATGGTCACTTTCCATCAGGTCGTCTGCTCGTCTGCCCCCTCTAACATGAAAAAAGGGCAAATCAACTCACGGCACTTTTTTTACACACTTTATATTAGCTTCACTTGTATGTTTGTTTGTATGTTTGTAACCGACTCCTTTGGGCGTAATTTTGACTGATTTTAAACGGTCAAAATTCGTTCAAACTTTGTAGATTTATCAAGGACCGATGACAATACAGTAATTTAGAAATAAATAAATATATAAATATATATAAACCAAACTAAAAAATAGAAAATAAATTTGAAAAAAAGCTTGCTTAAATAAATTTGAAAAAAAAGGGTGCTTTTTAACTGACTTCAAAAAAAGGAGGAGGTTCTCAATTCGACTGTATTTTTTTTTTTTTTTTTTTTTTTTTGTATATTTGTTACGCGATTACTCCGGCAATTATAAACCGATTTGAATAATTCTTTTTTTATTTGGTAGGTCATACGTCAGAGGTGGTCCCATTGTCACCAGGTCAGGATCTGATGATGGGATCCTGGGGAAATCTAGGGAAACCCTCAAATTTTGTAGGCATATACACTGTTTATCAGAAATTATCTTAATCTATGTAGATTTTTGCATCTAATGGTCACCATCTGATGTTGCTGAGCTGATGATGAAGCTGATGATGAATGGTTTAGGAGTATGGAATCTCTGTAACAAAATTATGTAATACCATCGAATTTGAATGTGTTTGAGTCTAATTAATAGGGACTCCGATCCTATGTGATATTCAGGGTCTGATGATGGAGACGGTAAATAGCCATGGGAACTCTGTAATAAAATAAAGCAATTCCGCCGTGTTTGTGCTCATTTGATTCGTCTCGACTAGGAGCTTCATGCTAGTCGATTTTTAACTAACATCAAAAAAGGAGGGTTTTTGATTCGACAGTATGTTTTCTTTTTAACCGACTTCTAAAACACAAAACAGGAGGTTCTCAATTCGTCTGTATTTTTTTTTTTATGTATGTTTGTTACGCGATTTCTCCGTCAATTGTAGACCGATTTTCAAAATTCTTTTTGTAATCGAAAGGGTATGCTCCCGAATTGGTCCCATTACCACCAATTCAGGATCTGATGATGGGATCCTAGAGAAATCGAGGGAAACCCTCACAATTATTGGGAATTTGACAGCCCCGACAACGTGTTTTAGCTACGAGTATTTCTTTAAAACCATGGCAACCGTCAGAGACTGCGCGATGTGATGCGCAGAGAACTTGCAGTATTTATGTCACCACAGTAATTTTCGTTGTATTAATAAGAAGAAAAGGTTGAAATTTTGTATTTTATCTTGTTAAAATAATTCGGATAGACGTTTTGTTGCTATGGATGGCATCGCATTTCGTTTGTAAGTAATTTTATACTTAATTTATTAAAATAGTTCTGGAAAAAACTCTTAAATTTTTTGTGGGTCAACTAGGTTAATTTCTAACATACCAGTATTAACCCTTTCAGTTGGAACTCCTTCTATAAAATATTGAGCATATTTGTTGAGTAGTCTCACTAAAGCTTCCCTATCTTCACCTTCGAGGTCAGTGTCAATTGAATCGGAAGTTATTTTGTTCGGTTGCAACTCACAAGAATTTGACTGTTTCTTAGAAAAGAATTTAAGCTGATCTTGATCAGTTTGGACGCCAATGTAGGAGAGGCCTATGT